TGGGGGGGGGCACATGGATGGAGGTGGTGGGACCCTTTTTTATTTTTTTTCCCCCCCTTCTCAACAGAGTTCAGAGCTGGAGAGGGTCCCAGCATGAGGAGTTTGGCTTCTACCCTATTTGTCTGTGTCCTGGTGCCTGCCTTTCCAGGCTTCACTCCCATTCCTCCCCTGTCTGGCTCTGTTTTCCCTGCTGCCTTTTCCAGGCCCAGCTCTGGGCACAAAGGTGATCTCAGACTGGCTTCTTGCAGTTGAAGATGGTGGGGGAAGACCTGTCGCATCTCCAGCCTCCCACGGATCTGGTCACTGCTCCTTATGGATAGGCATGTAGCTCCCAAAAGGGCTGGCTGTAACACTGGGCTTGTAACCCCTGCCAGTTGATGGTGCCATCCTGGCAGCAGACTGGTGGGGGCGGTGGCAGTCCTTGGCCTTTGAAGAGCCACGTGCCTGCATCTGTACCTGCCTTTCACTTCCAAAGCTGCTTGGGGCTCTCTGGCTACAGGCATGAGCTGCTCTGTCCCGGGTCCCGAGGAAGTACCTGTTCAGGGCGGGTGTCCCTCACTGCTACTGCAGGGTGCTTCTGTCTGCCTCTAGAGCTCCTTTCTTTGGTTGTGGGTACAGACACAATGTCGGATGCCAGGTCTTCCTCAGCCCTCATCTCTGGGCCGTACCGCTGTTCGCATCTGCCTGGTTTTCTGTCACGTGGTCGGCTGTGGCTCAAGCCTGCTCAGCAGAGACCAGGGTTATATGGGACTCTGGTCTTTGCATGGAGGAGCACGCAAGTCCACATGCAATGAAAAGGCAGCAGCTCTGCCATGAGAGAGCAGCCAGCCTGGCAGGGCCCCTAGCAAGTTGCATTCACTTCATCCCCCTGCTTTGGGCAGGATTAGGCCTGTCGAAACCAGCAATTCTCAGCTGTCACCTTAGGGGTGCTACACGATACTTCAAAGGTGCTGATGCAATGTGAACACCATTAGGGGTGCAAACACCTACATGGGATTCACTGGAGAAGCCCAGAGCCTTCCAGGAGGAATCTAGAGCATCACAAACTGGCTTGTTGTGGCTCTTCCAGGTTCTCTGCCCCAGACTTGCTCTAGTACTTTTTCTGTCATCAAACAGTGCGCGGAAAGCAAAAAGCTGGCATTTTTCTGCAGAGGTCCTGGAGTCTAAAGAGGCCAAGAACAACTGGTTGAAAGCCATGGAGGTTTAGACTGGTGACCCGCAGAACCCTAGGGGCTGCAGACTGTCAAAGGGGTCTGCAAAAGATGACTGATCTAGCAAAAGTATGCAAATACATACCTGTAACAGGTGGATGTCCTGGGGTCTGTCTAAACGTAGGCCTGCCCACTTGTCTTAAGGCCAGCTGCCCACCTCCACACCTGTCACGCCTTGATGTTAAATGGGCAGCCTCCTGCCTGATTTAACATTGGCTAATTATCTGCCCCGATGGCAAGGGCCTGTATGTGTATATCCCTTATCATATCCCGTGCCTTGCAGATGTTTCTCCCTCCAGTGGCTCGCACTGGGACCTGAATGCTGGAGTCTCACCAGGACTCTCACTTCTCACCCTCGCCCTGGGTTCACGTGAGCTCCTACATGCAGCCTCAGATCTCTACCGCAGAGGCTGGGAGCTACCACGGGTCTGTCCACCGACCTGGGCCCTGCCTCAATACTCTGAGTCTGGGCTCCCCCTGCTTCATTTCACCCACCAGGGATGTGGGGCTGTAGTTGGGAGGTGCCCCATGCTTGCCTTTCACTGGGGCAGTAACTGGCCTGGCACTTCTGGGGGACTGTCCTGCCACAGATGATCCCATTGGGCCCCCTGTCCTCAGCAGGGTGCAGTTTCTGGTCATGCCTAGGACCACGGGGCCTCCTCTTTTCCCATAGCCCCAGCCCTTACCTCCAAGATGTTGCTCTAACTGGCAGCCCAGCTGGGCGGTGTTCTCCCTGGCTGCTGGCAGCAAATTGCCACCTCTTTGCAGTTCAGGGCTCGGCTCTTGGCCCAGCTGTGCTCCCTGCTCTCAATTGGGCCACTTTGCCTAGTTGGCATTGCAGGCTGCCTAGCTGCCACTCCGGGGGGGGGGGGCCCTGCTAGTAACAGAGCGAGCACCCTTGCTCTGTTGCACCACACCTACAACTGGAAGGGGTCCACGCCTCTGTTCACACCTTTCTAGGCATCCACAGGTGAAAAAAGGCTGAGATCCACTGGTCTAAACATCTCAAACGAGCATCTGTCACACCTGCATTTCACATCCAGGGATGGAGATTCCACCTCTGCCCTGAGCAGTCTGTTTCAATGCAGAGAGCTCTTCCTAATCTCCAGCTGGTTTCCTAAATTACAGTGAAATAAATGCCTGTCCTTGCAGTGGCAGGGCATAGTGGGGCCCAGAGCCCTGCTAGCTTTGTCTGGGGCATGTGGAAGGGTGTTGTGTGGTTTTTTTTTTTTTTTTTTTTTTTTTTTTTTTTTTTTTTTTTGTTGTGTTTTGTTTTGGGCACTGTGCCCAGTGGTTATGAGAGGGTTGTTCTCAGATTTAAGATCCAGGCTGCAGACAGACTTTCCATTTAAGGTACCACGGGATCTGATCTGTCATCTAGCATATCTCCTGCTTGGCCACATGCGCTTGTGCGATCAGGGAGCAGATTCCCATTGCTGGTGCAGGGGGAGCCTGGGATCCTGATCCTGGCTGAGCGCCCAGTGGTCCTGCAGCTGGGAGTACCAGCCAGCTGGATGTTCAGTTTTAAGGCACAATGGAAACGAGCCATAAAGTTGTTATACCCTTCTTTATGTCATAACTTTGTGGCTTTTGCGTTATTTTAGCACACTGTTCATTGCACAAACATATAGCTGGGTTGCTACTTAACAGCTGAATTGCATCTTAAATGCAATGTCTTTCAGGGGCAATGGGTTACTTGGGACATGATTAACCCTGGCAGACTGGGTTAATTTGCGTCTTAACAGGTTAATTGCATCTTAAGTGTAACTTCTGCTGGGGGCTGTGCTTAGATGCTTCTCTGGGTTGCCTTAGATTGGGGACAAACCTGCCTTGAGTAGGGGGTTGGACCAGCTGAGGCCTCCCCTGGCCCTGTTAGTCCAACTTTCCTGCCATTCCCTTGTTGGGAACGGTCAGTGGAGGCAAAATGCTTTCTTGCTGCTGCTTCTGGACTGGTTTGAGCTACCCAAATTGCTGTAGGAGCAGCAGGCCTGGGTGGGAACTGCAGACCAGCATGTGATCCCCTGGAGTGACTGGCACCAGATCAGGGATGCTGGGCCCATAATCCAGTCAAAGTTTTTGGTTCTCCCAAATTTGCAGGAAGACTTCCCTTCCCCCCAGCTCACCAGGGCTGTGCAGCCAACGCATTTTGCTCAGGAAAAGCTGGGAGTTTCTCGTATCTATCACTGGGAGGCCAAGCTGGGATGTGTGGTCAACTGCAAATAAATCCTGAGCAGGTTTTGTCAGGCTCTGACACCGCTATCGGGTTCAGGTCTTCGTCTCGCTTATCTTCATCCTTGTTCTCTGCCACGTTACAGATTTTTATGGTGTGCTTCCTTTCTCGGTGTCTCCCTTATTGTTAAACTCTGTGTCAGGCCAAGATTTAAGGGAATAGATGAAGCATAAAATGCTTCCTGATGAGCCTTGTCCCGGCTTAAATGCAATTAATATGAAATGCTGCAGCTTTGCTGCAAAGGGCGGCAGGGGCAGGCGGGGAGCGAAACCAGGTAGCCCCTGTCCATGTATAGTCATAGAATTATAGGTGATGAAAGTTGGAAGGGACCTCAGGAGGTGACCTCTAGTCCAGCCCCTGCTCCAAACAGGACCAGCCCCAACTCCTCCATCCCAGCCAAGGCTTTGTCTCCCCGGGGCTTCAAAACCTCCAAGGATGGAGATGCCATCACCTCTCTGGAGAGCCTGGTCCAGTGTTTCACCACCCTCCTTGTGAAAGTTTTTCCTAATATCCAACCTCAGCTTCCCTTGCTGCAACCTGAGCCCATTGCTCCTTGTCCTGTCATCTGCCCCCACTGAGACCAGCCCCGCTCCATCCTCTTTGCAGCCCCCCTGCAGGGAGCTGAAGGCTTCTATTCAATCCCCCTCGGTCTTCTCTTCTGCAGACACAATAAACCCATTTCCCTCAGCCCCTCCTCACCAGTCCTGTCCCCCAGCCCCTCAACCACTTTTGTTGCCTGCCACTGGACTCTCTCCAATGTGTCCATCTTTTTTGTAGTGGGAGGCCACAACTGGACACAGGACTCCAGATGTGGCCTCCCCAGTGCTGAATAGAGGGGAAGAATTGCTGCCCTTGATCTCCTGGCAATGCTCCTACCAATGTAGTCATTTTGCTTTAGGGGGGCTTGCTGCTTGTGATCTTTGACCCTCCAATTTTGCTCACTTATTGCCTTCCGTGCAAGTCCTGTATGTTATAAGGAGCGCCAGCCTGGGCTTTGGACAAGCTTGTCCTGGACCAGCTTTCCTGGAAGCTGTTGGGTTTGCAGCGAGCAAGCACTACAAAACACTTGGCACTGATTTGGGACTCTGGGTCCAGTTCCCCCTCCCCACAGACCTGGGACAAAAGCGAAGCTTCCTCCTGCTTGTTCAGAGCATCTGGACTGTTTGTGCCTTCAGACATTTGATCTCTCTGGGAAGTGGTGGTCCAGCCTGTCGTGGGAGAGGTCCTATCCCTGCACTAGTCTGTTCAAGACGCATGCTGGCTCTTGCCCTGCTCTGCCCTGCCCTCTTCACCTGGCCCCTTGCTCTTCGGGCCTTCCTGGCACTTGCTTTTGTCTCTGTCCTGGTCCTCACCTTGGGCATTTTGAAAGCCCCTTTGATGCCAAGAAGCAGTTTCCCATCTCCTTTGGGGCCTGGCATCTGCACTGCTGTGAGTGGCTCATTCAGAAGTGTTTAGTCTTTACGGGAACCGAGTGTCTCCTCCCTGCCCCTGCAGAGAACAGCTCTGCCCTCTCTGAGCTTGCAAGACTGTGGTGTCAGGCGGGGTTGGCTGTGCAACGCGTGCCCTTAGATCATTGCAGTGCTACGGAGGATGCCCAATGCCATGGGCCCCTGGGGATGCAGAGGGGTTGTAAAAGGCATCACCGGTCATGTGCTGGCTGGGACTGGGGCTGCCTCCCCTTCCCAGAGCGCTGATGGGGTCTGGCGTATGGTTTCCATCTGCTGTTGCTTCCCCACCGAGCTGGTTTGTAGCCGCCAGTCATGCCATTTGGGCACCAGCTGCTTGACCAAAGCAGCTGGTTGTCCAGGCCTCCTGACCTGCCTGCCTGCCACTTTGGATCTTGATGGAAGCTGTCCTGCTGTCAGACATGGCCAAGGTCTCCAGTCTTTGCTGAACCCTCCTTCCAGGCCCCATGCCCCCTCAAGCCAGCTAGATCCTCCTGAAACTAGCTTAGCGTGGTACCCTGTATATGAATATGCATAAATAGGTGGTGGAATTAGCAAGTTGTGTCTTGACAGGGTTAAAGTGAAGTGCTTTTTTTGCTCCCCTGGCTGTAGCTGGGCTGCTCTTCTGGCCCTGTGACTGATGGGGCAGGTGCCTGTGCTCTGGAGGAGCCTGCTGCAGGGTTATTTCCCTGCCGGGGATGTTCATGGGGCTCAGTTTTGCTAATTGTCTCCTTTTTCTCTCATGCAGACACAACTGGGGAGAACATCGCCGAGTCGCTGGTGGCCGAAGGCCTGGCTTCCCGTAGGGAAGGAATCCGAGCCAACAAGTACGTGTGCGCTCCGCTCTCCTTGGATGGTCCAGGGGCATGGAGGGGGTTTGTGGCACTCCTTTCTCTCTCATGCAAAGATTGCTGAGCTGAAAGGCAAAGCATTGTACCTTTGCCCCAGCTGCTGGGAGGGGTGGGGGGATGGATGTCTGAGCTGCGCTGGCATTCATTCTGGGCTGGCCCGAGCTGCAGCTGGGTCGGCTCTGAGACTGGGGTGCCCCAAGGTGGCAGTAAGCAGGGCTCTGGCTTTCACCCCAAGCCACTTCAAAGCTGAGAAGCCATGCGAGGCACAGATCCCCATGGAGGCTGCCCTGTCTCTGCACTACCTATGGGAGAACCCCCCAACTTGGCGTGGATTTAAGTCTGCACTTGGTTAGCAGCTGCCTCAGCTTCTGCTTACGCAGTGCAGCCCCCAGCAGTGATCCTGCTGGGATGCACGGGTGCCTGGAGGCTGCCTTGTCCTGACTTCCACTGGAACCAGTGGCTGGACCGTGAGCTCCCCAGAGCTTAGAGCAATGCGTCCACTGGCCAGCCCTGGGAAACCCAGGCTTCCAGCAGTGCTGTGCTGACATCTCCCCTGCAGAGCCCATGGCCGGGGTGATTGTATTACGAGGGGTGTGAATTGTTTATGTAGCTAGTCTATAAATACCCGCCAACCACGGGATGGAAATAGCGTGCGTGCGTGCGTGCGTCGCTTCCTAAAGCTGTTACTAGCACACTTGGATGCCTTCCATCAGGGTCACCAGGACGTGGCTGGATGAAGAAGAGATTGTTGGCTCTGGCCTTTCCAGTGCAGGGAGCTCTGCAGTGCCAGGCGGGTCCCTTCCTCGTGGGTGTCCTAAAATCATAGGCAACGAGGGTTGGAAGGGACCTCAGGAGGTCACATCTAGTCCATCCCCCTGCTCAAAGCAGGGCCATCCCCAACTACATTATCCCAGCCAAAGCTTTGTCTAGCCAGGTCTTCAAAACCTCCAAGGATGGAGACTCCACTGCCTCTATGGGAAGCCTGTTCCAGTGTTTCACCACCCTCCTCGTGAGAGGTTTTTTTTCCTAATATCTAACCTCCACTTGCTGCAGCTTGAGACTTGCTCCCTGTTTCTAGCTTGACTCAATGCTCCCTTGTTGGTGGTTTAACATCACCTACACTCCCGTTCCTCACTCGCTTCTGCAAATAACATGCAGGGGGACCGTGCTGGATGTTGGGGTTTTGTTTTTTTGGTAGGGTGACAGGACCTTGAATCCTCCAAGGCCAGGAGGGTGCAAACCTCCGCTTTTTCCATTCTGCCCCCCTCAATTACAGGACGGCTAAATTTCAGGGATATCTCCCATATTCCCCCTTCCCCCCCAAACTTGTATAATTAACACATGCCCACATGATTGGTAATAAAATATTTAAAACCTTTAACTCCTAACACATCATTCTCACCTGGCCAGTGCTGACTTCCCAGTCTGCAGCTGTGCAGTGGCAGGCAGGAATCATCACCGCCCCAGCACCTAAACTCCCCCATCCTCCCCAAGACAAGGTCTCAGCTTCCCTGCTGGCCCTCAACAGGTTCCTTTTTGCCCCACTGCTCCTGTAGCCTTTCCAGTCCCAGTATCCCCTCCGTGCCCACTCTCCGGGGCTTCACATCAACAGGCTCCATGGATTTCAGCAAGCTGCAGGCATGCATGCACATGTGGAGTCTTTGGCTCCCCTGTTTCTATTTCTTCCCCTCCGGCTCCTAGCAAGAGCCAGAGACATCCCAGGAAAAGGTTCCTTCCAGCCCCATCCAGAGTGGGTGGAGGAAGGAAGAGGAAAGGAATCTCAGCCTGCGGCTTTGTCTCCCCTGCGGATAGGTCCGTGGCTCCAGGACTGGACTCGAAGTCATACCTAGACCCATCAGTGGGCTGTGGTAGAGATCACCTTTTGTATCAAGGGATTGCTGCTGATGACCTACATAACAAACAGGCCTCCACTCATGCAGGCATGGGATTTAATAGCGCATGGGGTCTGAGTCTCGAGGCTGGCTTGGCTTTCTTCTCCTGCCAGTATCCCATGCTGTATAGCAAGGAGAGCTGGGAGAATGTGAGAACTGCCCTGGACTGGGTCAGGCTCAGGTCTGTGTTCCCTAGTCTCCGGTCTCGCACGGACGGAGAGCAGAGGCTGGAAGGGAGAGTGATTGGGTTTGAGCAGGGTTTTTGCCTTCTCCTCTCTCCTTTGCAGCCTCCAGCACTGAAGGTCCAGGAAGGCCTGATGTAGAGGCTGTACCATAGAAATTTAAGGGCTGGAAGGGACCTCGAAAGATCATCATCGAGTCCATCTGGTGTACTCTGGGCAGGAATACTGCTGAGATCAAATGACCCCAGCAAGGTGTCTGTCCAGTCTCCTTTTGAAGACTTCCAAGGTTGGGGACTGCACCACCTCCTTGGAAGTGTATTCCAGGTTCTGGTCACCCTCACCGTAAAGAAGTTCTTCCTTGCATCCAACCTGGAACCATCCTCTAACAGTTTATGACCATTGCTCCTTGTTTTCCCTGGGGCTCCCCAGTGAACAGTTTTTTGTTTTTCCCCTCCCAGGTCCTAGTATTCACCTCCTATACTTTATAGATGGCCACCAAATCCCCCCTCAGTCTTCTCTTCCCCATGCTGAACAGTCCCAGGTCCCTCAGTCTTTCCTTGCAAGGTTTGTCCTCCAGGCTCTTAATCATCCTTGTGGCCCTTCTTTAGACCCTTTCAAGATTTTCTGCATCTTTTTTTTTTTGAAGTGTGGCACTCAGAATTGGACACAGTACTGCAGCTGGGGTCTCACCAGTGCCAAAAAGAGAGGAAGTATTGCTTCCTTGGCCCTGTTCGCGATGCACTGGCTAATGCACCCCTGTATGCTATTAGCTCTGACTACAGCGCTGCAGTGGCAGCTCATGTTCATCCTGTGATGAGCCAAAACCCCGAGGTCTCTTTCAGCCATTGTGCTGGCCAGGACATCTAACCTATATTCATGTTGCTGGTTACTTCCCCCCAGATAAAGCACTCTGCACTTATCCTTATTGAACTGCATCCGGTTCTGCTCCACCCACCTTTCCAGCTTGTCCAGGTCTGCTTGGATCCACATCCTATCCTCCAGCGTGACCACTTTTTCTCCATAACTTGGTATTGTCTGCAAACTTGGTCATCGTGCTTTCCATGTCCTTGTCTAAATTGATGAAGTTGAACAGTATGGGGCCAGGAACCGACACTACTGGCCACCTTCTGCCAAGACAATACAGACCCATCCACGAACACTGCCTGGGTTTGACCCCCAGGCAGTTCCCTACCCATCCGACTGTGGACTCTGCCAGCACATAGCCCCCCCCGATTTTTTTTTTTTTTGATAATAGCATTCAGAGCAGCCCCCTGGCAAGCAGGACGGTGAGCCTGGTGTGCAAGCCTGATTCGAAAATCCTATTAAATGTTGCTGAGGGTGGAAGCCAGAAGTTTTTCATCTGCCCAGATGGATCTCGCCCACAAAGGAAGGGAAGCAGGGAGGAAGATGAGGCAGTTTGTGGGTTATCTCTGCTCCATTACATTCGCGTGGGCAGGGTAGTTACTGCTCCTTATGGCTTGTGCTTCAGGCAAGCCCCTGTGTGCTCCTTGCCTGACCAGCCCAGGCTGTGCTGGATTGGCCCATGGCAGCAATGCAAGTGGTCTGTCACTGCAGCAGCTCTTGCTTCAAAGCAGGAGCTGGCTGTTGGAGACCCATGATATGCTATCACACAGTGGGAGCCCCCCTGTCCTGAGGTGCTGGGGTCCCTGGAGCTCTTCACAATTGTCCGTCAGCACGATTTGCAGAAGGTTAAAATGGTGCCGTCTGATCGCTCGTCTCGCCCTTATCTATGGGAGAGCCCCACTTCGTGCCTGGCTTACTTGCCCTGAGCCCAGCTGCTTGCAATTAGTTGAGACAGGTCTCACAGGGGGGTGCTCAGCCCTGCTGGGAGATGCTGCTTTGTGGATTGGGATCAGTAGCCAGTCCCAGCCCCAAACCACAGACATATCAGCAGTGCCAGCAGGTCCCGAGGCTTGGTTTTCCTTTCCTGCCAGGGTCCTGCGCTGGAGGGCTGGCAGGTACTGCTAGCCTCAGACCAGCGCTCCATCTAGCCCCAGTATCCTGTCTCTGCCAGTGGCAGGAGTGGATGCTATAGAGGGAGAGCACTGAATCGACTGCTTCAAGAGTGATCTCTCCCCTATCCAACACCCTCCCACCACCATTGGGTTAGAGATGCCAGAGGAAGCATCTGCAACCATCCTGTTTAATAGCCACAAATAGATCGATTCTCAATGAACGTAGCCAGCCCCTTGCTGACCCTGGCTCTGCTCTGCCTCCCGTGGCCATGAGTTGCACAAGTTAACAAAAAAATCCTGTCTCTTGTTGTTTTTTTTTTTAAACCTGTTTCCTGCTAATTTCAGCAGGTGCCCCCTTGGTCTAGCATCTTGGGATTTGGTGCTTCCTTTTTGCTTCATGTTTCAGGGGGTTTTAACCCTCCCCTAGACGTGCTGGATGCAGCTCGGGCTGGGGATGGGGCTGGGCTGAGCCAATGCTTCTGCTGGCACCAACCCCGCAGGGTCCTGGCTGGAGGGTCTTGCCCCTGTGCTCAGGCTCAGCCTCATGCTGCACTGGGGCAGGAGGGGATTTTCCCCCCTGCTCAGATTGGTCTGCACTAGAGGGTTTTGCTTTCCTCTGCAGTGGGGGCATAACCTTGGCCTGGGTCTCTGCAGCGCCCATGACCCCCCTGGCAGCAGCAGGATGTCTTTGGCCGCGGCCTCCCTGTATCCCAGGGGCGGGGGCAATGCCTGGGGCTGTGTTGGGGGTGACTGTGTCGTGCGGCTCCGAAGTCTGACACGGGGTTCGTCTAGGCTGGTTTGGACGGGGCTGATCCTGCCTCGGGCAGGGCTTGGACTGGATATGACCCCCGCAGCTCCCTGCCAAGCCCATGGCTCTGGGATTTCTATGAACACCAGTTCCCTGTTCCCTTGGTTCACACCCTTGCCTGGAAGGAAGGTCAGGCATGACGCATGAGGTTGGCAGCATCCTTTGCAGCCTTGGGCATTGTCGCATCAGATGGGGGTGGGATGCTCAGTTGAAAAGAGGGCGCGGAGTGTCTGATATGGGGCTAGTGCCTGTTGGAGGTCGTGGAGGAGAATGAAGCCACGTTCGGAGACTGGAGCCGGCACTCGCACTGCCAGTCTCCTTGCCAGCTCGACCTTCGCCAGAGCTTTGGCCCCATGAGACACCATTTGTCCATGCTGCACTAGAATACAAAGCCAGGGTCAGCAGCCATGGGCTGCTGCCACATTGCAAGGCGAGGAGGAATTGCCTCCCCCTGCCTTCTAGTGCCCTGTTTCTGTTCAACCCGAGCTGTGTGAGAATCATTAAAGCGCCTGGAGCCAGTGCATCTGCCTGTGGCTGCTGCTCTCGTGGCTCTCTCGCTGGTCCAGTGCTCTTACCTCGTGTCTGCTTTTTCTCCTAGCCCTGAGCAGAGCAGGCTGGCAGAGCTAGAGGAGCAGGCCAAGATTGCCAAGAAGGGCATGTGGAGCGAGGGCACGGGCTCCCACACCCTCCGGGACCTCAAGTACACCATCGAGAACCCCCGCCACTTCGTGGACTCCATGCACCAGAAGCCTGTCAACGGTAAGGGCAGGCTGCAGGGGTAGTAGCCAGCCAGGCTCTCGGCTTCGGCCTCCCCGGTGCTTTTTCCTCTGGGTAATCAGTTCTTGTTGGTCTCTGCCAGGGTGGCAAGTGCTGGGGGCATGATCAGTATTGAGCTTTCTTATCTCTTACCCAGCTGCAGCCTGGAACATAAGAGCTGCCATGGACTGGGTCAGACCTAGGTCCATCGTGCTCAGTCTCCTGTGTCACACAGGCAGAGAGTGGAGGCTGGAAGGATGAGTGGACAGGGTCTGACCAGGGTTTTCCCCTGCTCCTTGTAGGGGGCGCTCCTGTGTTGAGCCACCTGCCCACCATCCAGGCTCCGGGTGCATCACTGGCTACCTGGGCCGGTGAGCGGAGCGCTGCAAGCAGCTGGTCCTTGTCCTGGGAGGGCAGGCGGAGTTCCTCGATCCCTGCCTCGCCATCCCAGTCCCCATACATGACCGGCTCCTCTGGGTCCTCCGGTGTTCCCTCAGAGGGAACCCAGAATACCATCTCGTTTCTGTCGTAGTAGGGTTTAAGCATGTTCACATGAACTGTCTTAGGCTTTCTATCCTTAATAGCCACTACATAGGTCACATCATCCAGTCAACATTTGCGTATGCTGCTGCACATGGCATTCTTCTTGACGCATTAGTCTGCTACACTCTGCACGCGTTAGGTTTGGGGTAATAAAGCCCCATGCGCATCAGCCTTCCCTGCCACTAGCCAAACCTACCTAGTCTAGTAGGATCTCTGTGCATTTTTCCACACCACTGCAGAATCAAGCCAAAATTATGCTACATTTGAAAATCTACTTAATTCTAGGTCCTTTTCTTAATACTTATAAGCAATTGGATATATTAAGGGCTATGTTATCTAAGAAACTAAAATATTTAGAGTTGTATGAGAAGAATACTAGTATTTTATCTTGTGAAGATGTAACTCAAGGATCATTTCTTACTCAGATATGTGAAGAATGAGAGAGGCACCAAAAATATCTTCCAATGCATTTAAACAAATCTTATTTCGTGAAAGTAATAAGGTACTCTGGATAAGCTTGAATGTCATTAAAGATGACAAACATCGATGGTGAATTCATGCGATCAACCACACTGTCATATAGGTCAGTAGGGTCGCTTGCGTTTTTCGATGGTGGAGTTATCATTCCTGCCGCTCCAACACAATACTGTCCAGTGAGGACTTGAGCAAGGTACATGTGTTTAAAGCCATTCGTGTCGGGTCGAGAGTATGTATCCATAGCAGAATAATTGGCATGGACAGCAAAATACGTTCCATTTCCAATTACTGCAGCGTTCTTTCCAGCAAAACCACGATTGAACCCATTATAATTAATTACGTTCAATGAGGAATGTGCTGTTCCATGGAACAGGCACCTTTCGTTATTCTGATTGCCGTTCTTATTGTCCACAGACAGTTTTTTGATTTGGTATTGCTGCCAGAGGAATGGATTTTGTATTCTTTCAATCTTGTTAATTTTGAATCCGCAGGTTTTCTGAAACTCCATCTGCACTTTTTGATATTCTGGTGATGCTTGATTTAGTTTCACCACTTTGACACGTTCCTGCTGCATATCATCCCACTCTTTTGGAAGATCTATCAATTGTTTATAGAAACCATAAAACCTGGTGGGCAGGCTGTTCAGGACCACCGCCATGTCGCCTTCTACCAGAGCAGACAAGTACTTCGTGATCTTTTCCTCCGGCACCTTGCACCGCTGGGCTTGTCTTTCGAAGTTGCTTAGGAACACCGCAGGATCGTCTCCTTCTCGGTAGTGAGCGAAGGCGGAGGCATCCAGTTTGGGGGGTTCCCCAGATGCTTGCGGAGTGCTTGCGTTTCCCCCGTTGCTCTGCAGACGGAGCTGAGCCTCCAGCTTTTTCTCCTCCAGCTTCAGCTTTTTTGTTTCCAGCTCCATCTCCATCCTTTTCACTTCTAGCTGTTGTTGTTCCCTCTCACGCTGGGTCTCCAGCTCCAGCCTTTTTAACTCCATCCTTTTCAGCTCTAGCTCATGGAGTCTCTGCCGCTCCCCCTCAGAGGGTGATCTCTTGGCAGCCTCCAGACTTGACGAGCGGGAGTGTGTTTCTGGGTCGGACCCAGGAGTTGTCGAGCGTGAAGCTGACGCTTGTTCTGACTCGCCGGTGCACAAGAGTTTAACCAGCTCTTTCTCCTTTAGCCCTTTCTTCACATGAAGGCCTCTCTCTTTTGCCAGTTCTTTCAGTTCAGGCGTGGTCCTCTGGACATACTCGCCCACCATCCTGACTATCTACACTATCCAGTCGACCCGATGCCAAATTAGAAATTGTTTGCTCAAGGGATTTCAGTGACTCTATTCCTTTTCCCAAATTATGCCTCAAACACAGCAGGGTATTCATATCCCACCGCTGCCACCACGTGTGGCGGGCCAGTAGGGGGCGCTCCTGCGCTGAGCCGCCCACCTCCCTGCGCCCGACCACCGTCCAGGCTCCCCGCCCCCCCCTAGGGACACTCCCGTGCGGCGGC